AACTTTTCTGTCGCTGTGCTACCGGCACGCTACCGTTTGACAGACGAATTTCTTTTTCATGCGAGATGCACGAACAAACCTTTTTCGGAACGCTAATTGCTGTCTTAGCTTTCAAATCAAATTGTTTTTACCTGCTGGATTAAGCACTGATCAACTGAAAAGGGGCAGCGCTCCGGCTACGCCTCTCGACTCGACGGTCTCAAAAGCAGCGCAGCCATCTTGTTTGTTTACGTGACGTCATGGAGCGCAAAGAAGTCACTCGCGCTACGAGAAATTTTCGGTGCACGAAGAGCGCGCTCGAGTGTCGGTCTCCGGTGGAACTCCTGTCCGTTTAGTGAAAGGAGCATCAAACTCTCGCGCTCCGGAGCATGGACTTAACGCGCCCCGTGGTGGATTCCAATCTGCACTCCGAGTGCGAATAATTTTGGATTCTTATCCGCACTCCGAGTGCGGTTTGTGCTGGATTCTTATCCGCACTCCGAGTGCGGATTGCATGCGGAGGCGCGGACGCTCGTTAGCACGAAGCTGTTGAGTCTGTTGGATCTTATTTACCTGCACTCCGCGTGTGGCGCGATTTTGTCGCGGGAAACTATGAACACAGTGGTGTAGATGTTCTCAATTTTGTGTTGTGAATGACATCGGCTTTTATGCAGCCTCGACGAGTCAGTGGGAATATTGGCGGTCCCAGTTTCAGAATTAGATTAATTTCAAGCAAATATTTTTGCTTTTATTGAAAGAAATAATTAGCCTTGGGTGGTGCACTTGAGAGTAAACGGTGCTCACGCCTCGGGGATTCGATGCAGGTGATCAATGTGTATGTATGTGTTTGTGGCGGGGGGGGGGGGGGGGGGGGACTTTTTTATTAATATTTTCACTGTGGCTAGCATTACGTCCAGTCGGAGCACTGAAACACGTATACCTAACCCCCCCGCCCTCCTCTCTCTCCCCCGTGAACCTGGGAAAGGCTGAGATTTGGACTTAACTTGGGTGACGTTGGACGTAACACTAGACACTTCGTAATATTTTACCCACTCCAACACTCGGGGACATCCCACTCACATCAACACCCCCCCCCCCCCCCCCCCCCCCAAAAAAAAAAAAAAGGTTCTGGCGATAATTTTTTTTTTAGGGTTAAATATTTTTATTGATGAAAGGAAAAAAACTAGAGCAGTGCACAATTTTTTCCCTGTATTGTCTTGTGCTTAGATGCGGTGGCATAGGAAAAGGGGGGGGGGGGGCAGGAAAATCAGTCATTTCCAGTAAACAATATTATTAAAAAAAGACCCTTCCCTTTCCTATGCCACTGCCCTCATCATCTCAACACAAGACAATACACGTCTTCTGAACACTTTGAACACTACTAGATGGGGGAATGCCTGAAAAGTCCCTGGCCATTTGTTACTGTAGCTTTTCTTTTTTTTTAAAGAATGATTTGTGCGTTTGTGAGTAGACAACGATAGATGTGATGGCTGTTAAAAGTTGTGGGTTTCGGGCGCGGCGGCAGCGGAAGTTTGGGACATCTGTGTGCGTGTGTGTGCTTGAGGGGGGCGGCAATTGCGCCTTAAAAATTGTTTGCTCGCCGTCCGTTTCCACATTACTGACCCCACCAGCTAAGCACCACACAATGTTAATGCGCTAACTATAGCAAAGCTTCCTGTTTTTTTTTTTTTTTTTTTGCAAATAATAATAATTTGTTTAACAGAAAGAAGAAAAAGAAAATACTGAAGGAAAAATAGGATTGCTTATTTCCTGCTTTCATGCCTTTTTACAGGTCCCCGGAGCGCGAGTACAGTTCAATCTTTACCCAAATGCGCCACTTAGCACTAATCAATCTCGAAAAAAAAAAAAAAGAGGAAAAAGAAAGGTGAATTTTTTGCATTTGCAGTAATGTTTTGAGGTGAGCTAGTCGATGGTGTATAAAAAAACATAATTAAAACAGCGCAAACGAACACAAGGACAATTAGAAGAAGGGACACAGATAGAGCGGTGACTCACGTCTTTTTATGTTGATTTGTTTTAAGAAGACGAAAAAGAGAGCAAGTCGTGAGTCAGCGCTGTGTCTCTGTGCCTTCTTTTACTTGTCTTTGTGCTCGTTTGCACTGTTTTAATTATATGTTTACGATTATGCATTTGTTTCAAATTGAACTAATTCCGAAACACAGGTCTTCCCCCCAATTAAACACCGTGCAACTACTAATATTTCTGTGGAATTGGCGCTGCCAACATCAGTGATGTGATTGCTGCACCAATTGTGCCAAACTCTGCGCCAAGGGGCTAACTCTGCTACATCCTGCTACATTTCGCCAAAATATGGCTAATCTGTGCCAAACCTGCGCAAAAGGACCAATCTTGGTCGCCTTTCAAAAACGAAACTAAACTGAGAATTGTAATTGAGCATGCGTTGGCTAGGTGGCACAAGACACTGCCCGACACAAAGTACCCTGCATCAATCGTCTATGCGGTCTTGCATGATTTTTCCCGCCATCTCGCGTTTCGCACTCTCGTCGTCTCGGGAATCTCACCTCGCGTCTTTTTTTCTTTTTTTTTAATTTTTTAGTGATAGACGCGGCCGTGTGCGCGGACGCTCCGACGTTAGTGTGTCGGGTTCCAGACTTGCCGTCATGCTGTTAAACAAAACCACGTTTTTACGTGGCAAGAGTTACTTTGTGCTCACAAAGCTCACAAAGTAACTCTCGTCGCGCGACGTCGTGTGTTGCCGTCCCCACTTTGCTGCAGATATAATGCTTTCTAAACTGAAACGCATCGACATTCCTGCTCTTGTTTAAATCATACGCTGCTATAAAAATCCCTCTTTAACTCAATGACTGCTGTGTCGAAATAATAATTACCTAGGTTTCTCTCGGTGGGCTTTCTCCCGAGAAAGACCCCGGTACGTGAAAAATCTGCCGCGAAAGAATGTTGATGATGAGAAGTGACCTAAAGCAAAGAAGGCAGTGCCTGCACGCTGAACCTGCACGGCACGCTTGTTTGTCTCGAGTTCAGTCGTTGCACAAAGCGCTCCAAAAACTTCTTGACCCTGGCTCGCAATGTCTTGCATCGATACGCTCAGGTCCTTTTTTTTGTGTGTTTAGCTTGTACCTCGCCCACCGGCCTGGCAAGCACGCACCGCTGGACTGTTTATTGTCGTATGCTGGACAGTTACATTTTGTACATGTATATTATTTTGGGAACCAGTTGGCAACAAAGCAGAGTGGCATGGTTTCGGTTTCGGTCGAACAGCCGTTGTCTCTGCTCATGCGACGAAGCACGTCTAGGTGCAAGCCTGCCGAAGTTGCCCTCACGTGCATGTGAACATGATTGCACGAGAGGCACCATCCAGGACGCTTGCAATCTAATGTCTTACGTTTGCTTACTTTTTATAAAGATGTGCCATATTAAAAACCAGTAAAACGAAAGCAAGTTTTTTTTTGTTTTTTTGTTTTTTTTTTTCAGAATTGCTTGGCAACGCTCACAGCACTGTCTACTTGTGGGATGTCTCAGCAGCAAAAACACAAGCAGCGAATTCCGCCCAAACACGTCGCATCACAACACAACACAAAGTGCCCTTCGTTTGTCCAGCATTTAAAACAAATATTTATTTTTCTAAGAATGTGTGCTCCAAAAGTCACTTTTTCTGCTCCGAAACACTGTTTTCCCTGCTCCAAAAGCCACTTTTGCTGCTCCAAAACACACTATCTTGGCCGCTCCAAAGGCCACATTTGCTGCTCCAAAACATTGTTTTAGAGCAGCAAACACCTAAGTGCAAGACCTAAGCACAAACTTAGTGGGACTTGAATGTGCCTATTATCAGTGCTGCATTTGAAATCAGAATGGCAGTGGCCTTATATCTGTCCTTTCAGTAAATTTTACATGATATAGTTCCTTAAGCATCTGTCCCTTTGCAACAAGTCAGGATTACAAAATTGTCAAATGATTTTTATTCATTTTAACGACCACATTTTTTTTTTCAAAGTTCAGTTTACATTTTAAGGACAGCGACCATCCAGTGGTAGTTTTCAGCACTTTAGAGACGTCTGGAGGCAAGTTGGCTCACCAGATAGCAAAATTCGTTGTCATAGCACCGTTCAAGACCAATTATTGGCTACAATTGGAGGACGACGACCATTCTGAGGTAGTTTTCATCATTTCAGAGACGTCTGGAGGCAGGTTGGCTCACCGGAAAGGGAACTTTGTTGTCATAGCACCATCTAAGACCAATTATTGTCTACAATTGAAGGGCGACGACCATTCCGAGGTAGTTTTCATCATTTCAGAGACGTCTGGAGGCAGGTTGGCTCACCGGAAAGGAAACTTCGTTGTCATAGCACCGTCTAAGACCAATTATTGGCTACAATAGGAGGACTACGACCATTCCGAGGTAGTTTTCATCATTGCAGAGATGTCTGGAGGCAAGTTGGCTCACCAGAAAGGAAACTTTGTTGTCATAGCACCATTCAAGACCAATTATTGACTTCAATCGGAGGCTGACGACTATCCCGGGGTAGTTCTCAGTACGTTGGAGCCATCTGGAGGCAAGTGTGGTCACAAAATAGAGAACTCGAATATAATAGCACCATTCAAGACCAATGATTGACTATGATTTGGGGACGACGACAATACTCTGATTATCTTCAGCATTTGAGTTTCCTCTGGAGATCCCCCATTGCCTTGCAGAAGTGTCTCAACACCTCTCGCGGAAGTGTCTCAGCGTCATTCTCAGTCGTCGAAATGGATGGGCATTGACTCCTTTATGACTGCCACTCGTGCATTCTTCATAGAACTTCTGTATCCATTCAAACGCATTTCTTTGCGAGAAAACATTTCCATTTCCATAATACTGTGCACAAAGTTTTTTTTTATGGATATCGGTATATTCATATATATGGAATTACTGGACACCCCTTCATATCACGAGAACGATGACTGATTCACTTCTACAAATTAAGCATGGGACAGCCATTCTTCCTACCACCTCAGTCCCAACTGAACTGATTTAACAGATTCAAGCCTGCACAGCAGTGACTGGAGATACAGCAACCTTGTATGAAAAGTGCCGATAAGACAGTGCAGCCAACAGAAGGTGTAAGTTGACCAAAGTGAAATAAGTTTTTAATCACCCTCGTACGACATGGATCCTTCGTAACGTCTGCATTCTGGCTCCAACCATACTTATTCATTGTTTAGTTTACTTCATGAGCCAATCTTAGTAACGGAATACATATAGCATTTACACCAAGACACTCTTTGTGGCTTTGTTTTAAAAAATGAAAGTTACATTAAAGCGGTTTTGCGCAGGTGAGGTATACGGCCAAGGGAACATAGTATAGGGGGCTAATTGTAACGATCAGTTGGCTAATTAAGTAAAATTCATTAATTAACTTTTTAATAAATGAAAATAGACACGTGGTTCCAATTAGAAACTTGTTCAGCGTCACCTAAGGCCACTATATCAACTCTTTTTCGAAAGATATAACGCAGGGGCTGTATATTACAGCGTTCCATGAAAACGCTCAATTTGGACGCGTTTCTAGGTTTCGATTTGTTATTGCAGTGCATCTCTGCGCCCACGGTCCTGCTCGACAGTGGCTGAGACGTGCAACACAGTTGCGCCCAACTTCCCTCTATGCTACAAGGTAAGCGAGGGAGTGGCTTTGCGCCGCGACTACCGGGGGAGGAGGAGGAGGAGGAGGGGGAAGAGGGAGGGGAGGGGGAGGGGACAGGATTGCGGGCGCGGAGAGTGCTCGGATAAGTAAGCGAAACCTAGAAACACATCCAAATTGAGCGCTTCATTAGAATGACGTAAAATGCTGCCCATGCTTTATGTTCTAAAAAGAGTTGATTTAGTGGTTTTCAATGGCGCTTAGCAAGTTTCTAATTGGAACTATGTGTCGATTTTTAATTATTTAAAAAGTTAATTAACGAATTTTAAATAATTAGCTGACTGATCGTTACAATTAGCCCCAATACTCTATCCCCCTGGCTGTATAACTCATCTGCACAAACCGCATAAGTGTAACTTTCACGGCTTTTTAAACAAATCTGTTAAGTTTTGAAAGAAACACCTGGTATATCTTTGTGTAGGTTAAAACTTTCCTACTTTGACCTTATTATGGTCATAAAAGTCAAAATTAAATAGGTTGTTAGCCTTCAGAGAGTGATGAATCAGTCAGCTATGAAATTAGACTGTTTGTGTCTCCACTGCAGAAAGAAAACTTACCATATGCAGCATGACTGCTAACTTGGGGTCTTTACATGTAACCTTATAACTTGACCTTCTGTCCTTCTTTGTGCTGCATCAGTCATTATTCTGCTAGCTCATAAAATTGAAGATAGTTAATTTTAGGTTAGTTCAAAAAGTAAGCTGCATTACGCTCTGGTTTCTCACTTATTTTAAATAGTCAGTGTTACGTAAAGTTTCCCCAGATTGGTAAAGTTCCATCTTTCTATGGCAGTCATGCATTTCATTCCTCTGGTTCTATTATGCTGTTCTAATTTCTATGCCTAGGTGTTGAGGGTTTTTCTAAGTGTCTGTTAGTTCTGTCTTTTAGCAAACAAATACAAGCTGTGCCTTAGACCTAGACATTGTACATAGTTTCTTTTCTATTTCACCTGCTCTGCCTCAGATCTCAATCATGAAAACCAACACTAGGATTATCACATTAAGCTTAGGTCATTTATGACCTACATGATTTTCCAAAATAAACCATTCAGATTCCCGATCAGCCTTCATAAGCATTTCATGTTTTTGTTAGTACCTGAATTATTTCCTTAAGAAATTCGATAAGCAGATGCTGGAATAAGCGAGGCTCGAGTCTAGGGCTGGGGTCCAGTTGCTTGCCAAGGATAATTTAACCATACATATTTGTATAAAAATGTCAAGTGCAGCCAGAAAACTGAAATACTGGGTATTTTTATGATGCCTACTTCACCACACAACTTATGTGCATTGCAACAAAGTGCACCCCAAAAATAAAAGTAAATATTGTATTCAATTTTGACAACAATTTAAATTTATCGAAGTACAAATACAATTACTGAACGATTATTAGCTTCTACGGTACTGCAGAACATGTGGTAACATCTGTACCCAGAGGGGCATGGCGTGTGAGCTGTGGCACAGTACACTGCCTGTCTCCCTAGTTGAACGTAAGGCGGTGGTGGTCTTTGAAGTATGAAAACTCTCACTAGGTCATCACATCGTGTCTATGAGAACAGTCATCTCTTCGCACCACCCGCCGCAGCCTGCCCTAATACAGTGCTGAGCAAATCTCGCATCTTAGTCGTTATGATTTCCTGTCACCGCTACAAAGCGCGGTCACCAGATAAGTTTCGACTGTAGAACGACACAGTTTTCCGAAGCTAAGATTTTACTCGGGAGACAAAGAAACTTCTCTTAAAAATTGTCCCAACACTAAAAAAAAAAAAAATAGCCTTTTCGTTGCATTATTGTCTAAATGCGTTGTTCACCGCAATTTAATGTGAGCGGAAGAATGTGGCTACAATCGGCTGATCGCCGAGATCATGCACTGCCGCTATTCAACGCGCTGACCGGAAAAAAGGAAATACGTTGAAAGTAAAAATCAGACGTTTACAACACCCTGTAACACCGAATTAGAGCGCAGCTCTTAAAGAAGACGAGGGAAGGGTACTAAGGGGAGGGTATACCCCTCCTCCCTCCTCCTCCTCACCCACTCATCCTCCCTGCTACTCCTCCCCTCCTCCTCATCCTCCTTCACCCCCTCACCTCATCCTTCAAGCTCCTCTCTCCTCCCCTCCTTCCTTCTCTTCCCCCTCCTCCTCCTTCCTTCCCTCCCCCTCATCCTCCTCCCTGCGCATTGCATCATGGGTAGTGTCCCATAATGCACCGTGCGGTTACGCTGACTCCACTCAAGCCGGAAACGGGTGCCTAAGAGCTGCGCTCTCAAATAAACAAGGTTGTAAATAGCAATACGTTACAGATATGCGCAAATAACTGCATACGAATAAGCACGCTGAAATAAAACCCAATGGGAAGATGGACGTGAGCCGTGCGTGAGCCCCACATCTGCATACCTTCCCCGGTTAGGGCTAACATACACTGAGAGTGGAAAGTCAACTTGAAAACGGGTCGATAAACACTTCACATAATATTTTGCATCTGTCGCAATCGAAGGTCATTCTGTTGAGGCTATTATGCTGCTGTAGCCTAAAAAACTTTGTACAACCAATTTCGTCCACCGTGTAGACCGCCACAAACCAGCCGACATGTTTTAAATCCAGGATTAAAAAACGACCAATTGAAGTACCCGATGTTGAGCGCTCACAATAGTCATGGTTTAGTGCTAGGTTTAGCGATAAGTCATTTTGGTGCAACAGAACAAAACCAAAACTCAGCTTAGGTTCCCTGCTAAGTTCTGATTTGCGCTAAGCTGCATCGGTGCAACTGGCCCTAAGTCTCAGACCGCCGCACTTTACTGTCACGACCAAGAAGGCACCCAAAACAGGCAGTAGAAGATGCTGGAAAGGCCGCCGGCGGCAGTCTTTGCAACGTCGTCTGCTCTCCGCTCCTTATCTGGGAAGCAGCTTTACCGCATTGCACGCGGAGACGCCGTTGTGGCATGCCGATAGAGGCGTTCGGAGCGCTAACGACAACATGCCGGCGGAGATGACGGAGAGAGCCTAGATTTAAGAGAGGGAGCAGTAAGTGCGCCTGCATTTGATTGTCGCGTAGCCAGTCTAGCGAGAAAACTGGGCAAGAAAAGAGGGACATAAAATATAATACAGATGACCCAGGCTTTTAACTTGCAACAAAATATATATTGGCTTCAAGTTGCTTCCCAAAGCTCCATGAGGGTGTGACACGAAGAGGGACGGGGAGAGGACGGTGAATGAGAGAAGCAGGGGGCTATGTGCCTATGCCAACAGCTAAGCGTATGCAGCGGGAAGTAGTCTGCTGAGTGTCAAGCAACACGACGCCATTGGCTACAATATGTTTGCTTTTTGAAGCCTACATTTTACCTTTCTCTTCCCTTAGTGAAGGCACCTGTATTGTTTTCAAACGTGAATTCTGTTGTTTGGTTATAGGGAATGAATTAGACTGTTGCACTTCCATTTTGTGTTAGTTCAATCAATCAATCAATCATTTTATTTGCACCTGTACAAGTACAAATGCTGGGAGGCAGACAAAAAGCCAACGGTTGTTTGCTTGACAAGGTATTCTCTTTCACCTACTTGACAAAGCGAGCTACAAAAACAGCGAAGAAATAACTATCATATGTCTCACAGAGATAAAAACAGGAAAAAAACAACAAAAAAAAACAGAATGAACACTTGTAGGTATGACATTGTCGTGAAAACACTTATTGGTTTGAGAGCCCTGTGTTCTATTTCAACATAGAACACATGGTTGTGCACCATAGAAGTGGAAGTTCGAGAACAGTGATAATATGCAACCACCAGCTCTGCAAAGAAATGCTGCATGTAAAGCATACATACATTATTTTCAGCAGGAGGTCGCATTTTTCGAATGTGCTCTTGCTGCACAAGCATTTATATAGCAGACGCATCTGAGGGTTCTGTACTCAATCAATAGTTATTTTTTAAATTCTGAATATTAGAAGATTTGTACCTAACAATCCATCTTATTTGCTAATAGCACCCCAGGAGCTACTATCGCCCGAAGATGTCACAGGCGGTCATGATTCTTTGAGGCAGCGGAATTTCACCGGTAAGTTGCCCCCCCTCACCGACTTTTTGACAAGTGTGCTTGCCTCTAATGGCCCTTTCAGAAATTTGCATCAGGAGCTGTAGCTTTGACAGCATCCGTTGCAACCACAATGTCTGCAACGACCACAGTGTGTTGCTTGGACACAAATTTGACACAACTTCAGCGATAGACTTTTTGCTAATTACCCAAGCACCAAGGGGAATGCTGGAAACGTAGGTACACATGCTGCACACGGTTGCCTTCTCTGCATAAAGGATTCGAGGCAAAAACCAAAATAGGGTTTCGAGGAATGTGTGTGCAATGTGGTATTTATTTTAGATTTTTACCTTTGAACAGATTCGCTTGCAGACACCAGCACATGCAGTGTATGTTCATACACTCTCAGCATTCTCTTTTGTGCATGGTTAATTTGGGATATGGTCTATCCTGACATATATGGCAGTATGTAGTGTTATTTCTGTGACAGAAGATTCTCTATGGCCATCAGCATTTTCTTTTATTGGCCATGCCTTAAAAAACAAGGTCTTTTCAAAGTATGATGGGAAAAAGGTAGGTGTTTTTGTTTGTATAGGCTTGATGTTGTTATTATTCCCAGGACATCATTCTTGCAGGCCTAAATAGAAGAGCAAACTGTGATTCACCGCACTAGAACTGGAATACTCCAGTCTCACCGCATTCTTGTGTTGCAACCATAGAAACATACAATAAGTTTCCTTGTGCAGTGTATTACTGCAGAAGAAAGCAGGCATGGTTCACACACTTGCAACTGCCTACAACCGGCACGGCAGTCATAAGCATTTATAGAGGTTTAAAGCCAGTCTTTTAACCTCTCCAGCCAGAAGCAGTCGCAAGTGTGTGAAACAGCCTTTGTGCCTGTTTTATTTCTGTTAATCACTACCCCTGGAATGAGATCAGTTATGAGCAATCGAAGCAGTACCGACTGAAACCTAGTTCAGGCCAACATCTTTATGCGAGTTTTTAATGCACATTCGCAAGCCTGTTGAAAGCATTTTACGTGCATTATCTTTTTCTTTCAAACTCACTACAGATATAAGCACTGCATTAGCATGACTCTTCCCTAGTTTGTTAATTTTTCAGCACACAGTCGCTGACCAACGTACTAAAGCAGGCTCCTCTGGTCCGTGCAATTTGCTTTGTAAGCAGTCGGTCAACTGAACCTTCGGACTATGTCCAATCTGATGTCGAGGTTGGGTATACTGTCCCTATCATGTGAGCAGATAGCTGAAATTGTAGCCGCAAGGCTAGCTCCCTCCCCCCTGTGAAAGTAGGGTGTTTTTCGGGTGGCGGATCTAAGGTTTGGGAAGCGAGTGCTTTCCTGTGGCCCTTTCAACCTGCCCTTGACGCTTCTGCTTGTACAGCGCATGCTGACAGCTACTTGAAGTATCTTTTTGGTTGTAGCTTTTGTCTCGACCACAGTTTTTAAGGGCCTATTAGAATAGTTTCATTGATTGACCCTTAACTTGACACTGTAAGTCAAGCAGGCTGTCATGGCCATGCTCATCTCTTATTGGTGCTGTATCTTCAGAGTTTAATGTATTAGCTGTTAATTGAAAGTTGGCTTTGAGGCAAGATGCCGAGTTGTCAGGTTGTAAACCAGACTGAGGTTCCTGCAATTTGACTGAGGCTTATTGTGCTGCAAGATCAGTCTAGGTTCACAATACCTGGGTGGTTGAGATGAATCTTCTAAGTTTTGTTCTAATTAAATCTGTATGATTTTCTTTTTTAGCACCTTTCAAGCTAAGTGGTTGATGGTTTCTTTTGTGCCTTGTCTTTTCAGAAGTGCATCTTTAACACCTTCAGTTTCTTTTCTACTGCAAGCCTGGTACTACAGCTTGTGGCTCGTGTAGAAGAATAGAGGGGTGAAACCAAGGCTCAAGTGACTGTGGACTCATGGCCCTCAGACAGCTAGAGCACCAGACCAGGCACAGACCAGAGCCATTTATGCTCCACTTCTAGAGGACATGTTGCTGTTTGAAACTACCAAGACTCATGGAAGCTGCTGACAGGAGGCTGTTGGTATGTTCAGTTTTATTCTTTAGTGGAATTACTTCTCGGAGCATTGTAATTATTTGTGTAATAATGGCAATTCCTTGTTCAATATCTGCAGAATATAATTGTTAGATATACATCCTTAGCCATTGAAAATCTGGAACTTTCCACAAGTTCTGGTGGCAACCACATAAATTACAGTCGTGAAAAACACCAAGCCTATAGAATTTCTGGTTCTAACTGACATCTATCGAGAATCACTCCTCTGGTAGCATACCTCTTGACTTAAAGGGGCCCTGCAATCATATTTAAGCGTCTACCTTCTTTGCGGTTTCCAAATCTCTTGGGGTTCGGGCAAGGCAGCGGGCACGGAGAGAGTAACTAAATACCAGTGCGTTATATTTTAACCGGACGACGTGGAAACCTCCTCCACCTACGGGGGCGACCTGCGGTGCCGAAAGCGCGCAATTTGTGTAGTCTACTGGTCAGACCCGCTAAAAGCTTCTTTTTAGTCGAAATACAAAATATAAGTGGCGCGGACCATTTCAAATATTTATGAAAGTACTTTTTGTTCAGTATTTTAGATCAGAAAAGAAACAAATGCAGTCTATAAAGACGGAAACAAGAAATGACCCGTCGACATATCCACCACCAATCGGTGGAAAAGGCGGCGCTTACTAGAGGGTTAGTGGGGTCAGGCACCGATGAGCGGCGAGCGTAGAAAGGTCTCAGATGTACGCGGCGGCGCTGCGGTCGTATACAGGCTCGAGGATCCGACTGGTTCCGGGCGTTTCGAAGGCCTTTGGCGAGCAGATTTGGCTTGCGATTTGGCCGTTTGGTGGTATGGTAGCGCGATGTGGCTCCCTTTCTGAACTGATTTTTAACTCGTGTTTGCTGTCGTTGGTGGCCAATGAAGCGTCATGCCGAATCAGTGTTTAATCGTGCAGCAAGTGCAGTGCGAGCCACCCTGGCCGCCCGCTTCATACAGCCTAGCCGAAACATGCTTTAGTGGCGCCCTCTCGAGCCGTCGACACGGAGTGCGGCAGCCGTGTGTGCTTGTTGAGCTCACTAACCCTCCTCTAGTTCACAACCACTCAAGCGACGAAGGACGTCATGAAAGAGGGTTTTTGTGCTTGTTTTTGTATTTTTAATTTGCCTATATCTTTTAAAATAAAGCAAAATTCGTGAAAAGAACAGTTTCATTAAGATACGACGTTCAGTGCACTCAGGTTCAGTGCAAATTGAAAACCAGTACAAAAGTTCTTGCAGGGCCTTTTTAAAAATCAGCCATGTAATCCCTGTACAATAAATCGTTTCTTGCATCTGCAAGTACAGATGTCGAAGCCACGGACAAAAAAACCAATCTTTGTTGGCTTACTAGGTCCGGGCCCCGAGAGCTTGGCAGATGGTGACGGAGATGCAGCAAAAACAATCAAGGTAATAAATATATCCGGAAAACGCATTAACTAAACGGTTAACATAACTTAATACATGTTATACAAAAAGTAGGTACATAGGTTCGGAGATAGAAATTCACCTCACTATTGTTCTAGATCACTCAGCATCATATCTTCAAACATCATTAGATACACTGAGCCTAATATGCTCCTAAACAAAAACAAGCACAGATTTAGAAAGACATTATCATGAAAATACAACTTTTGTGATTTATACATGACATTCAATTAAATTTGCAACGTAAACAACAAACCGTTGCTATATTCAGTGGTAAAACTGCTGCGCTAATTGCGCCAAACTGCGCCAGAATGAATAACCTGCTACATGCTGCTCTAAAGGCTGTATTTGCGCACAATTTGCGTCACGTCTGCGCCGAAAGGGAGCAGTTCTCAAAAAGGAAACTGAAAGTGTGGCACGTGACAAGCGATGCCACTGAAAGTTAAGAAAGTATTTTTTTTCTTGATGCCTAAGTAGTATGTGCGAAGAATAGAGCTGCGCGAATATTTTAATTTTCTAATAGAAGTTTGAAATAATATGGTGATATTCGGTTAAAAAAATTAACTGCAATATTCATACATTTCGAAGTGTTGATTGCAGCGGGTTAGCCCCCTTGAGTGCGCTTCTCTTCAAGCACAGTTGCATCGCTGTGTCAGCCATGAAGCTGACACAGCAACCTCGCGACCCGCTTCATCGCAGCTGTTTCGCGCGCTTATGCGAAAAGCACATCTTCAAACTAGTATGGTGCACGCGCACGCCTAATGTATATTAAAAGAAAAAAAAAAAACATAAAAGTTTTGGGATTGTTATTATTACATTGCAGTAAAATCTTCAAAATTTAACTGTGGCTATTATTCAAGGGTATATGTTTGAGTCCGTTGCAAGTCAAGAAGGTAGGGTGAGGGCAAGACGGGCCGGGGCAGAGGAAGCAGATGGAACACTTAAGAGAGATTTCCCCCTCTCTTTTCCAGCATTCCGTCTGCTTCCTCTTCCCTGGCCCGTCTTACCCTCACCCTACCTTCTTGAGTTACAACGGGCTGTAGGCAGCAATGTTCTAAAAACCTCTGTTTATTGTTTGTGCTTTTTTTTTAAATTCAGAATCAACAAAAAATATTTTTATATAGGCAGAAAATTTTAAAAATCCCCTCAATTATGTATGGCTAGGCTCCTTTATAGGCTTAATTTTATGTCAAATTTGTCATTTACTTGCCATCCCACTGTAGGTACTGGACGTTCTGAGGCTACAGTCTATAAATATAGCTAGATTAAATTTAACTACTCATAAGTGGGCAATTAGGAACAACCTTCGTAAGTCCAGCTGAATTTTTGTTCAAGCATGGTGGAAGAGTAGTAAAAGGCATGGAGAAAGGTGCAAGAAGTCTTCAATATTCAATTAAAAAATATTCGACCGTAAGGACTATTACTATTCACTTTGAATTTGCTTCGAACCCAAAATCTATTTTTGCTCATGCCAAACGAAGAGTTTTCATTGTTTTTTTTTTTTGCGGACGGTGCTCACATCGATCGCAATGAATAGCTACCGCTACTTGTGATCGGTTAGAGTAGCTATGTGCTCCGCTTAGCTGCTCTATGAACAGCAGCAAGTTGAATACGAGGGAGGGCAATGTGAGGCACTTTCAACCATAAGTGTCCGTTTGATGTTAAATTTGTGACAATTACGTCACTGTAATAAAATCCGCTACAAAGTAGCCGAAAATATCTTTTTACGTTAAACACAGACTGAAAATGCCATCGGTACTAATAATAGGTTAATTGGACTTCTACACAATTGCTGGCGTATGATTGTTCAATAAACAAATAAATATCTGTACAGGCCATGTCTTCTGCGGGCATAACACTTCAGTCTTCCAACACTCCAACAGCTACAGTCTTTTCTATGGTCTAACTTTCGAAGAGATTGTATAAAACTTTCTGACATGAAAGCTCAAAATTGTCTGCTCCAAAACCAATATTTTCCTGTTACAAGAGCTGCTCCAAATCACCTCTTGTCAGTTTCACCACTGTATATTCCTATACTTCTCAAAAGCATTTGACAGGGTGTCTCATAACCACCTTATCGTGCAATGTCACAATTGATCCCTTTATTGTTGCCTGGATTTTCTAATTTGTTTCCAATCAAGTTCAATGCACTGTTATAAATAACTTCATGTGATCCAAGTCCAACTTAATTAACATTGGGCATTCCTTTAGAAAACATGCTCAGACCCCTTCTTTTCCTTATCTGTATCAATGATCATACTTTTCGTGTTTCGTCCATTATCTGCCTTTTCACAGATGACTAATTTACTCCTGTCACAGATGGCAATTATCACTTATCCTTGCAAACTGCCTTATTATCCATAGCGAGTTGGTGTGATAGTGGCTGTTGTCCTCGAGGATAAAGAAATGCAAATTGCTTACATTTGACAGCTTTCATTACCATTTTTTATGTCTACAGTATTAACGATACCATCATCAGCACCTTCTTGTTTTATAAATATGTTTGTCTTTATATAACAAGACATTTTACACGGATCACCCGCATTAGACCTACTATCGGTAAGGAAGACAGCACACTTGACTTTCTCCTGGACAATTTAATACTAGCCACTCCTAATATTAAATGCGTTGCATACCTCACCTTTGTATGCCCCAAGTTAGAACATTCATCATCTGTACGGTCTCCATGGCAGAACTATCTTGCTGAAGAATTAAAACTTTCCCAAAAAAGTTTTACAATTTAGTTATTCTGTCTACTCTTCTTATACTACAGTGATGTGATTGCTGCGCCAATTGCGCCAAACTGCGCCAAGGGCCCAACCCTGCTACATGCTGCTGCATTTTGCCGAAATATGGGTGATCTGCGCCAAGCCTGTGCCAAAGGACCGATTTCGGTCGCATTTCAAAACCGAAACTAAACTGAATGCTGTAATTGAGCATGCGTGAGCTAGGTGGCGCAAGCGTCCGCCCGACAGAAAGTACTCTGCATCACTTGTCCATCCGGTCTTACATGGTTTTTCCCGCCGTCTCTCGTTTCGCGCTCTCGTCGTCTCGTGGGTCTCGTCTCGTCGGCTTTTTAAAATTGTTTTAATTGTAGACGCTGTAGACGCGGGCTTGTGCGTACGCTCCGACGCAAGTGTGCCGGATACCAGCCATGCCGTCATGCTGTGAAACGAAACCACGTTTTTGCGCGGCGCGAGTTACTTTATGAGCTGAAGCACTCGCTCCTGAAATCAAAGGCCGTGGGAAAACTATAATTTGTCCCTGTCTGCCAGGTATGGCACTTTCTAAACTGTAACGTAAAGACCGCCGCATGTTCATCAACATTCCTGTTGTTTAAATCATACTCTACTACAAAAATCTTTCTTTAACTCAAATACTGCTGTGTCGAAGTATTGATTACCTAGGTTTCTCTCGGTGGGCTTTCTTTTCAGAGGGACCCCGGTACGTGAAAAATCTGCCGCAAAAGAAAGTTGAAGAGAACTGAGCTAAAGCAAAGAATGCAATGTCTGCACGCTGAACCCGCACAGCGCGCTTGCTTGTCTCGAGTTCAGCCGTTGCACAAAGCGCTC